ATTACCTGTTTAATTTTCATTCATAAATGTGTTTGTAAACATAAATGTGGGTCTCATAAGAACAAAACATGGCCCCCTGGTCTGCTTTCCAGTCTGGTTACTTTCCACAACACTCTATTTGGCATCTCAAAGCAGCATTTATCTGTGGAAATATAGGCATTTCTGGGAAATCTTTTGTAGCCTATGCTAAAATGATGATATTTCAAGGATATCATCCATGTAGCTGCTTCCTGTCAGGCTAGGAAGTTCAGTGAAGATCTGAAACACCTCATTTCCTATCCATGAGGCAGCTGCTATCCTTATTCTTAGAACTGCAGGGATCAAAGCTAATCCTGAACCTTGTCACAGGAATTCACCCTAATGAGACTTCCTCTCCCTTGTGATACTTAACACATTAATAATGGGGATCCTGCCTGGAGCTATAATTGTGTCCAACACTAAGTAGACATGTCTGACAAGCTGGGGGCTCCCAGAAATACTTGGCAACTTTGTAGGGGACTGACCAATAGAGTGACCAGATACAATAAAGAATGCCCCATTAAATTTGAATTTCAGATAAACAATGAATAAATTTTTTAGTATAAATATATAGCTCCCATGCAATATTTGGGACATACTAAAACTAAAAAACCTACCCATTGTTTAACAGGACATATTTATATTTAAAAGTTATTTATTTTTTATCTGAAATTCAAATTTAGCTGTCATATATTTATAATTGCTAAATCTGGCAACCCTGGACGGGCAGGAAAGAACAAAAATCCAGTGAGGTGTGCATTATTACTGTTACTGAAGCTATTGGCTATTGAGGACAGGAATTAGGTCTCATAGAGAATCTGCTATGGACTTCAGATAATCCTTGGCAGGCCACTGTGGAAAATACAAGGTTCATGTTGAGATCCTCATAAAACTTAAAATAAGCTGCATGAATATGGACAGAAAATATCAAAGAAAGGAATATCTCAGACTTCAGCGAACCAGATATGACTACCTAAATATCATTTCTAACCACTAGAAATGGTACATTCTAATTTTTAAGTTATATTGGACATTTTACTTCAAATCCATTTGGAAAATAATTGGGTTGGGATGGAGGACGGTCTTACCTCTTAACTGTTTACAGTAAACAGAAATCAAATCTAGAGGATCTTTTTTACTGATCAAGTCTGTAGCACTTAGTGAATGCATTAGCTTTTACAGGCTGAAATACTTTTCTTTTTAATTACCTGAGAATACTCAAGGAGAATGGGAATCGGGTTATTTCATTTTATTTTTTAAGGAATCAGGTTATTAATGTCAAAACTGCACCTACTGAGTATAAATTTGTTATCTAGTTAAATTTGAACAACCTCTCCAACCTAAATTGGGTAATTCCAGAATAAACATCACTTTGGGGAATGCATTTTCCCATCTGTTCTCTTATTGATCATGCAAACTAAAAAAATACCCAAATACCCACTTTATACCACAGTATGTATGGGGGCTCCGTACATACTTTAATTCTTCAAATGGAATTATATATTAGTGTAATTATTTATACACACCCTACTACATTAAAAAAAAAGGGTCGGGGTGATTTTATCTGTGTATTTTATGGATCATCATGTGGTGTCAGGCAGAGTTGGCATCAGTTTTGTTCATCAAAGCTGCTTGTAGAAAGTGGTAGAGTTTGAGTTGGGCTTCTAGGGTGAGCCATCTATGAAAAAAAAAGGGTCTCAATTATAATATGAATTATGTTCCTGTGGCCAACACAGATCTCCTTGCTCACTAACAGAATCCAGATTTTGTGCAGGGCAGCAATACAGCCAGACTCTAAAAACCCCTTTTCCCAGTTTTTCTGATATAATTAGAAGGTGGATAGCACCTGTTTAAAGAGAAGAGGGGTAACTTAGCTAGCATACCCTTTTGTCCTTTGCCTTTCTCCTTATCTTGCCTAGAATGTGGACACTGGGCTTCAGGAGGTGTAGGCATTCTTTACCATGAGGATAAAAGCCACACATTAAGGATGGAAGAGCAGGGATGACATGTGAAGCTGCTGTCCCAGTTATGGGCTGCCTACTTCCCAAAGGAATATGCAGGTAAGAAAAATAAGCCCCTACTTGGTCAAGCCACAATGGTCAGATTTTTGTTACCTAATGCAAAAGCAAATTTCGTTACCAAATGCAAAACCTAACTAATACAGTTGCTTCAGACTTAAAGGAAAAAGGAAGCCTAAGGACAGGGGTGGGGAAGGGGGAGGGTCATTTTATGTCGAACAACAGTGTTTAAAAAACTTCCTCCTACTAAGTGGATTTTGGTGAATACCTCATATGGCAGATATCTTGTCTAGGATTTTTTATGTTGTTGCTCAATATGTGTGCTTATTATTTATCGTATTTTCATTTATTTCCACATTACTCAACTCATTATAGTAATTATGGGGTAGGGCAGGGACAAAAAAGAATCCCAGAGCTGAACAAAGAAAGGAAGGGCCTTAGTCCTTCAGTGAGGCCCCTGCCCTTCATAATTTGTGGTATCACCAAGGATTGTGATCTGGGGGTAGACTCCCTACTGGATGCTCCAAAAGGAGGAAAGAGGAATGTGGCCACACCTCCAAAGAAGGCGGTGTAGTGTCCAGGAGGACGAAGTTGATTGGCAAGAAGTTGATTGGCAAGCTGTTTGCAAAAGGCACTGAGGAAACAAAGGGAGGACAGTGTTGGGTTGGCAAAGTGTCAGCAGAGAAGTCCGTGGTGTGTCTCTATCTCCAGAGGGAAATGGAAAATACAAGCTTCATAGCCAAAGGGGCCAGCAGCCCTGTGTCCCAGCACTCTAGTAGGAGTGGCAGAAAGATGGCTACTCCCCACAGATCCAGTGACAGAAGTGAACAGGGAGATGACAGACAAAAGGGTTTGGAAGAAATCACATCAGGCCCCACTAATATACTAGATTTTGGTGTATGGGTCATACGTGTAGGTGACAAAGAAAAAAGCTGCTGAGACCTTTTCCTATCAACTGCACGATCTGCTCCCTATCTATATCTCCATCCCTGTCTTTCATCACTGTCAGACTTGCTCTCTCCGTTATAGCTACTTTGGCCCCTTTTCAGTTTCTCAGTTAGGCCATGATCCCTCCACCATAAGACCCTTGCATATACTGTTCTTTTTGCCTGGAGCTCTTTCTTCCCAGACATCCATGGTGGGCACACCACCTTATCCCATAGGTACCCTTCCCAGTTAACACCTATTCATCCTTCAAGTCTCACTTCATCACTTCCTAAGGGAATCCTTCCTAGATCACCCAGGCTAGATAAAGTTCCTGTATGGGTTCCCACAGAACTCTGTTCCTTTCCTTTATAGTACTTATCTCAGTGTAGAATTATACAAATATGTGATTATTTGACTAATGTCTATTTTCCCCACTAGGCTAAAAGCTCCAACACAGTAAAGCCAGGTCTGTTTTTGCTTACCACCGTATCCCTAGTACTCTAGGAGAGTGCCTGGCATATGGGAAGTGCTTAATAAATACTTATCTAAAGGAATTAACAAAACCAGACATTCATGGTTAAAGTAGAGATAATAATGTTAGCTATGTCACAGAATTTTATAAAGCCTAAATATGAAAGTGTTTTGTAAAGCATAAGGTGCCATTTAAAAATTATTATAAGAAAGATCCTTTGGATTATATGATTCTAAATAAATGATTTTGAAGAAAAGGAAACTTTTTTTTTTTTCCCCTAAAGGCTTACCTGAAACTTTCTCCTCAAGGCCCGGGTCATTACTGGAGTCAGCCCAGTTCCTGTTTCCATATTTTCTTTATTGGTAAATGGGGTTCCACCTGGGCTCCTGCAAAGGTATTGACAATATTAGAAGCTATGTTTTATGCTAACTTTTCAAATGGATTTAGAAAGCATAAAGATAAGAGAGTGTATTACCTCTCTACATCAACTTTTCTAAGTAGTTTCCGCAGATCTATTTGGCCTTTACCAGGGGTACTGATGAAATAAAGATATAAAAGTTAGAGCTTGCCAAACTTTATCATCTTTCCCAAAGCAAAGCAGCCATTTCTATAGGCAATGTCCTAGAAAGTAGTTCTATTTGTTACATTAAAAAATAGCAGCAGAGGGGCGCCTGGCTGGCTCAGTCAGTACAGCGTGTGACTCCTGATCTCGGGGTCGTGAGTTCAAGCCCCACATTGGGCGCGGCGCCTACTTAAAAACAAAAATAGCTATAGATGCTGATAAGAGCATAAGGTGACATAATTGTCCTAATAAGTAATAAGTAATATGTCTTGATTCAGTAATCATACATATAGGAATCCATCTTAGAGAAAGACTCAGCTATGCACACAGATGGTGGACAAGGATGTTCACTGAAGAGTTAGAAATAAAAAAATCATAAACAACCTAAATGTCTCAAAACAGGAGTTTATCTATGAAATTTGCATATAATGTACTGTATATACAGAAAAAGTCAAAATGATGCTTTAAAGTGATTTTTAATAAGATGGGGGAAAGTTCTTGACACATTAAATGGGAAAAGCCTTAACTGTATGTACGGTATGATTACACACAGGTACACAAACACGTACGCACGTGTGCACACACACATGATTTCACCGATTCCAAGACATACTAGTTTTCATATTTTATTATTCCTGAAATTGGGCTGCTTTAAAAATTCTTTTTTTTTCTTCCTTTTTTAAGTAATCTCTATCCCCAACATGGGACTCAAACTCATGACCCAAAGATCTTCTGACTAAGCCAGCCAGGCGCCCCTAAAAAAATTCTTGATATTATTTCTTTTCCTCCCAAATCCATTTATTTTTATTTTATTTTATTTTATTTTTTAAGTAATCTCTGTGCCCAGCTTGGGGCTCGAGCTCACAACCGGAGATTTGAGAGTCACATGCTCCACTGACTAAGCCAGCCGGGCACCCCTGAGCCAACCCTGCCCCCAAATCCACTATTAAATCAATGGTGTATCGTATAATAAACAGCATCATGAAATGGAAATAATAGAGTAGATACCTACACAAAGACTAGAATGATAAACAACAGTATGTTAATAATAGCTATCTTCAATCATACAGTTATTTGAATGATTTTTTCTTTTTTTTAAATTTTTTTAAAGATTTTATTTATTTATTTGAGAGAGAGAGAGAGAGAGAGACAAGCAGGGGGAGGGGCAGAGGAACAAGCAGACTCCCCTCTGAGATCATGACCTGAGCTGAAGGCAGACGCTTAACTGACTGAACCACCCAGGTGCCCCCGTTTTCTTCTTTAAACTTTTCTGTGGATTTCCAGTTTTCTACAATGAGGATATATAATCTTTAAAGTTAGAGGTAAGCAAAAAAATCATTCTTTTAAGTAACAGTAGAGCATGACAGTGTAGTTCCTTACATCAAGACATTTGTAACTCGAGTTGATAGCACTTTGGAGTTGGGCTTCAGGGTGACATGCTGCAGGTCAGAGACAGTAACTAGTGGATTCTGTGCCTTTGGTGACGGTACAAGCTTTAATCACAAAATGAGACAGTATCAAAAAACACACTTAAAAATATCATTCAAAATGTAAACATGCTGCAACAATGAAGACTTGAATGCTGAGTATGTGTAAGATAATATCCACTACTCAATTTTTATTTCAAAGCTTCAAAGTATGTCTCTACTTCTTTAGACTAATGGTTGGTAGATAAAACTGCCTAATTAAATAATTTTGGGATCTACACATTTTGTTGAGGAGATCCAAAACTACTCAAATAAAACATCAAATACTTACCTCAGAATGGCTTCTGTACATGAGACTTATGTTTATTTTCCAGAAAGGGACAACCAGGTTAAAAGCTGAAAGATCATGTGTATGGTCAGTGACATCTTACCTCCTTCCTTTCATCAAAACACTGTGTCTTCTTTAATTTCACAGTCAGTAGATCTTCAACTGTTATCTGCATGGGTCCCTCTTTTTTTAATGGTCCAGCCTTAAAATACATGGAGAGGTTAGAATTCCAGTTGTAACCAGGATATCTAGTCAAATGCAAATCCAAATCTAGTTTTATTTTATTTTATTTTATTTTAAAGATTTTATTTATTTATTTGACAGAGAGACACAGTGAGAGAGGGAACACAAGCAAGCGGAGAGGGAGAAGCAGGCTCCCTGCTGAGCAGGGAGCCCGATGTGGGGCTCGATCCCAGGACCCCTGGGATCATGACCTGAGCCGAAGGCAGACACTTAACGACTGAGGCACCCAGGCACCCCGAAATATAATTTCTTTAATAAAATCATCACTTTGGAAATTTGCTGAATAAGGTTTATATCACTAATGTGAAAGGCAGTAAGCAATACAAATTGTATAGTCCACATTTCTCTAATGCAACATTCTCTAAACCAATTTATGGATAAAAACATGAAGAAGTTCTGCAATTGTCTTTTAAGCAGGCTGTAAATACAAATAGCATAAAAATTTTGTATTTAAAAACTACAGAAATTCAAATTAGGGTGGCTTCTGTAATCAAAAATAATTAAGGAGGGGCGCCTGGGTGGCTCAGTTGTTGGGCGTCTGCCTTCAGCTCAGGTCATGATCCCAGGGTCCTGGGATGGAGCCCCGCATCGGTCTCCCTGCTCTGCGGGAAGCCTGCCTCTCCTTCTCCCGCTCCCCCTGCTTGTGTTCCCTCTCTCGCTATGTCTCTCTCTGTCAAATAAATAAATAAAATCTTAAAAAAAAATAATTAAGGAAAATCACTCACTAATTTAAGCAGGAATGTAAAATTTTTTCACATAAGAATGACATCAAAAAAGAAACAAAAAAAAAGACACAAGTTTGCTCTTTTGATACCTTATTTGTTCTTACAAACTACTTTGTTACAGTTCCTTTAACCTACAAGTTTACACACCCTGTTATTCAAGGCTATTAAAAAAACAAAACAAGGGTGCCTGGGTGGCTCAGTCGATTAAGCATCTGACTCTTGGTTTCAGCTCAGGTCAGGATCTCAGGGTCATGAGATCAAGCCCCATGTCTGGTGTCATTCTCAGTGGGGAGTCTGCTTCTCTCCCTCTCTGGCTCCCTCTGCCCCTCCTCCCACTCTCTCGCTGCCTAAAATAAATAAATCTTTAAAAAAAAACAACTATTAATACATGTCCTACAGAGCAATCTATCTGTATTTTCCAAATGCCGTGCACTACTTAATAAAACCAACCAAAAACCATGCTTAGTACAAAAGCAATTGTGATTGTTAAAACTGATATACAAGGAATGAAAAATTAATAGGATTAAAAATAAGGATGAGATCCAAGAAGAATGTAAGTTAATTTCAGAGTTGGAGTCCCATGTTGGGTGTAGAGATTACTTAAGAAAAAGGGTAAAAAAGGGCGCCTGGCTCAGTTGGTTAAGCGACTGCCTTCAGCTCAGGTCATGATCCTGGAGTCCCGGGATCGAGTCCCGCA